TCAGACTGAGTACCGCTGCTTCGCTCGGCTTAGCGACGCCTGGCGCGTCAAGTTTCCTGATGCTACTGAGTTCCCCAACTGGGCAGACCTGCTTAGGCGTGATGTACCTATCTTTGATCTTGACTATGAGGCTATTCTTGCTGCCATGTATGCATTGACCGTTAGTGCTGAGGGTGACTGCTACTTCTGTGTGCCGCCTGACCCCGGTATAGCCCCAGGTATAGCGCCTGTGGCACAAGGTGCTTGTGAGTCTGCTCCCCCTGGTAGTGCGTCCGCACAGGCCTTGCACACCTTCACACTTGACTCTAGTGCTTCCCGCTGTTTCTTTCGCGACAGTACCACAGTCACTCCCCTCCCTGTACCTGTTCCTGTCTCACTGGCTGACCCCTCTAGGGGCCCAGTGCTTGCACGGTCTTCCACTGTGCTTCCGTGTCCGGCGGTCCCGTCTGATGAGCTGTCTGGTCTCCACCTCCCCTCGTTCTTTACGAACTTGGTGAGCAACGCCGTCCTTCAGGATCACTGGGTAGACACCTTTACTCCTGGAGGACAGCGTGTGGCGATCTGCACGTGCTCCCGGACCGGCCGTCACCTAGCCACGTTCACACGTGCGCCTAGGTCCAGTCTGTAGACCCTCACCAATGCGTCGCGCTACACACCTTTATCTCCCCAGCTGTACGCGTCTGCTACCCAGTGTGAGTGTTGCCGATTGTTACACGACACTCTCATATGGCACCACCACCTTGGTCACCCCTCCCTGCCTTGCCTTCGTAGCATGCACTATCGCTTCCTGGTCTCTGGCCTTCCCAGGTCTCTGCCTGCCCTCCCTCCCTCGCCTGCGCTGCCCTGCATTCCTTGCGTCGAGGGGCGGCAGCGCGCCGCTCCTCACTCCTCCTCGTTCCCTCCCACAGAGGCTCCACTGCAGACTCTCCACCTGGACGTGTGGGGCCCAGCCCGCGTCCGTGGACAGGGCCACAAGCGGTACGCTCTGCTGGTCGTCGACGACTACACGCGTTACACCACGGTCTTCCCCTTGCAGCGCAAGGGGGAGGTCCCTGATGTTTTGATCCCCTGGATCCACGCTGTTCGTCTCCAGCTCCGCGAGCAGTTCCAGTCAGACTTTCTTGTCCTGCGTCTGCACTCTGACAGAGGTGGTGAGTTCTCCTCAGACCTCTTGGCCGCCTTCTGTGCGGAGCATGGCATCCGCCAGACGTTCCCGCTTCCGGCCTCTCCGCAGCAGAATGGGGTTGCTGAGCGCCGCATTGGCTTAGTCATGGAGGTCGCTCGTACCTCCATGATCCATGCGGCGGCCCCCCACTTTGTGTGGTCGTTTGCGGTCCGGTACGCCGTGCATCAGCTCAACCTCTCGCCCCGTGTCTCCTGGTCGGAGACCTCGCCCACACTGCTGTGGACAGGGAAGGTTGGCGATGCGTCGCGTTTCCGGGTCTGGGGTGCTTGTGCCTTTGTCCGCGATACCACCGCAGACAAGCTCTCCCCTCGCGCCATTCCATGCGTCTTCCTTGGCTTTGTCCCTGACGCGCCTAGCTGGCAGTTTTACGACCCCGCCTTGCGCCGTGTCTTTCCGTCTCAGGATGTCACCTTTGACAAGTCAGTTCCCTTTTACCGTTTCTTTCCCTACCGCACTGCCCCTCGGTCTCCCCCGCCGCTCTTTCTCGCCCCAGGTCCTCACCAGGTAGACCCCCTCCCCGCGCCAGGTCCTGCTTCTTCAGGTGTCTCTCAGGTAGACCCTCCCGTACCTGCGCCTATTGAGGTCACTGGTGACTCAGGTCCTGCTGGGGGTGGTGCTGTCCCTGGGGGTCCGGAGTTTGGGGGTGGGGAGCTTGGGGGTGCGGAGCGTGGGTGTGCTGAGCCTGGGGGTGCGGAGCCTGAGCGTGAGGACCCAGGAGGTGCTGAGACTGGGGGTGCGGAGTCTGGAGGTGCTGAGCCTGCGCGTGAGGAGCCTGGAGATCCTGAGCTTGGGGGTGCTGAGCCTGCGTGTGACGAGCCTGGGGGTGCTGAGTCTGGGGGTGCGACGCCTGAGGGTTCTGAGTCTGCTGTTACGCGGTCTCCTTGGAGTAGCCGTCTTCGTCCGCGTGTGCCTCTCACCTCACAGCAGCTGCACGACTGGTACGGTCGCCGTCAGGGTCGCGCTTCTGGAGCTCGGGGCTCTGCTGCTGGAGGTACTTCTGCTGACGTCCCTAGAGCTGGGAGTGGTGCTGGTCCTTTGTCTACTCGAGGTGCTGGAGTCGCTGGTCCTGGAGGTGCTCATACTGGAGGTACTGGAGCTGCTAGGGCTGGAGGTGTTGTGTCTGAGGGTGCTACTGCTGGAGACCCTGGGTCTGGGGGTGCTGCTGCTGGAGGCACTGAGGCTGGAGACCCTGGGACTCGAGGTGCCGGTTCTGGGGGTGCTGCAGCTGGTGGAGCTGGTCCTGGAGGAGCTGGCGCTGAGGATTCTGGAGCTGCTGGAGGTGCTGGAGCTGCCAAGGGCACTAGAGCTGCTGGAGGTGCTGGAGCTGCTGGTGCTGGTGGCACTGCAGAGCCCGCCTGTTTTTCGCTCCGCCATCTCCGCCGTCTCAGCCACCGCCTAACTATGCGCTTCGCCAGGTACTCAGTCTCCCTTCGTCTACTGGTCTTCCGTTACAACCTGGCTCACTGCTGCCTGCTCCTTCTCCGTACACTGAGCAGACAAGAAGCGTCGTGAGCCTGCGTCGCGTCCTGTCTCGCCTGTTCGTTCTGGACGTTCCGGTCGACGTGTTCCTCGTCATCGTCAGCCGACTGTCCCCGGCACCCACCTTGTAGTCTGTCGTCCTTCCTCTACTCCGCCGCGTGTTCCTCTGCCGTCTCCCCCTGCGTCCTCTTTGCCTGACTTTGCGGACCCTGAGTCTGACCAGTTTCGTAGTGAGCACCCTACTGTCACGCGTCCGTTAGCCACTGTTGTCACTGACCCGTCGTTTGAGTCCACTGCTGCGTCTGCCCTAGTCGTTGAGCTTGTCGACTTTGCTGCTGCCTGTCGTCTAGACTACGCTGCTAGTCTTGTTGCTGAGTCTGCGTTTGTCAGTCCTCCGTCCGTCGGGGGTGAGTGTGCTTTTAGCACGGACGTCCTTGAGGACAAGCACGAGGACCTTGAGTGTCTTGCGGCCGCTGCGCTTCATCTCGTGGCCATGCTGCTTGCCCCAGAGGGAGACCCGGATGCACCAGACATCTCGACCCCGCGCTCTTACGCTGAGGCGATCGCGGGTGAGTACTCTTCTCAGTGGCAGACAGCCATGGATGCAGATATGGCATCCTGGAAGTCCACACACACGTACGTCGATGAGGTTCCCCCTCCCGGGGCGAACATCGTCGACGGCATGTGGATTTTCAGGGTAAAGCGGCCGCCAGGTTCTCCGCTTGTCTTTAAGGCTCGTTACGTTGCTCGAGGCTTCGGTCAACGATAGGGAGTTGACTTCTTCAAGACCTTCTCTCCCACCCCGAAGATGACCACTCTTCGGGTGCTGCTGCACGTTGTCGCTCAGCGTGACTATGAGCTTCACTCTCTTGACTTCAGCATAGCTTTCTTACAGGGCAGCCTGCACGAGGAGATATTGCTGCGCCGCCCGCCTGGCTTCACTGGGTCGTTCCCTCCTCGTACTCAATGGAGCCTCCGGCGGCCGGTCTACAGTCTACGCCGGGCGCCACGTGAGAGGCACGACACACCGAGGACGACACTTGCGGCTCTTGGGTTTGTATAACGGGTAAGTGCGCCCATAACCCCCCAGGCCAACATGCCTATAACCCTTCTTTAGGATTAATCGGGAATGCTAGTGGACCTCTGAAACCCCCCCGCACTGGGATCAGGGCCTCATATTCGTTTTAGGGTACCCTGAGCACTCAGGGTCCCTTGGAGGTGTAACACTGATCTTCAGTGTTGCCTGCTTAGAAACACTGATTTTTCAGGGTTAGTAAAAAAAAAAACACTGATCACACAGGGTGCCTTTTCAAAAAACACTGATAGAATAATTAAAGAAGGGGTGCAGGCCCGGTCGTGATGTGGAGAGCATGAATGAACGAGACCCCCTGCGGCATGGGTCGGCTGGTCGAATCGCACAACCACGCCCTTGCGTGGTGAATCTGATCTGATGCCACCATTCACCACTGGTCCACTCTGGATTTGTGCGCAGCGAGGCCAAGAATAACAAGTGTTGGCAGAAGTCAGAGTCAACGAAGCATTGAAACACCTGGAACAGCCAATCAAATAGCTCCTTTGCGCAAACACTGGCCAAAATTGAGCTGCAGGGTGGCGTCGATCCTTGTTGGGTACATGAATGATGACGACGCGCCAATATGCGAGAAACACGGAGTTTCGGTTTCAGGGTCAACCCGGATACAACACTGACTCGTCAGTGTCTGCAAACACAAAACACTGAAAATTCAGTGTTCTACAAAATAAAACACTGATCCATCAGGGTCTTAAAAAAAAAAAGGCTGATCCATCAGGGTTGCAATAAAAAACAAGGGTCAAACTTCAGGAATTCAGGGTAAAAATCTTGATATCTGAGGCCCTGACAGGGATGCTAGAGGTGCACTTCCTGGGGTTTGGAACTCGAGACTATTTTGGTTCCATGTCAGAATCCCAACCACTAGACCATTGAGATAAAATGACATGTTTGTATAGCATGTAAGTGCAAGGATAACCCCCAAGGCCAATGTGCCTGTAACCCTTCCCTAGGATCAATCAGGGATCACCAGCGTGCCTGTAACACATCCGATTTGTTCTTTTCAGGCGGGGTGTATATGAGGGAGAAAGGGTGAGGGAGACGGTGAAGGAAGGGGAGAGAGGAGGAGAGGATGAGAAGACAAGGGGGAGAACCGGAGGGGGAGAAGAGAAAACCATGGAGCAGTGAACGGAAATGATAAGAAACCCCTATCTAACAATTTCTACCTAATCCTCCCGTACCTAGCGCCCACCAATCCGAACCCCTGCTCACCGTCCTCCTTCCTCCCCCACACCCGCTCTCTCCTCCTCACCTGTTACAAAAGTCGTGCTGGAAGCGAGTGGGGTCATTATCAAGAGCAGCAGCGCACCCCTTGGGAGCCTTTATCTCCTGAATGAGGCCCCATGCGGGCTTGCGCACGCCTGTGGCAAGCGCATTCATGAGAGAAATGGTCAGCTGGTGCTGCTTCGAGTCCCCCACCACCAGCATGCGCCGGTTCTTCAGCACCCGCTCGCAGAAGGCCGATGAGTTGAATGGAAGCCAGGCTGAAGAGGAGGAGGAGGACGGGGAGGGCAAGGAGGAGGAAGCAGAGGAGGTGTTGTTTGGTGAGGTAGCACCTGTCTTTTTCAGCTGTCGTCGTTGGTTTCTGACAACAGGGACAGACTCTACTGCTCTCAGCCTCCTTCTCCTCATCTGCTCCTTCCCTCCTCCTCCTCCTCCTCCTCCTCCTCCTCCTCCTCCTCCTCCTCCTCCTCCTCCTCCTCCTCCTCCTCCTCCTCCTCCTCCTCCTCCTCCTCCTCCTCCTCCTCCTGCTGCGGCTCCCCCCTTCTCGCCCCCAAAACCACCACAAGCCCCCTCATTCACCACCCATTCATACTTCACAGTGGGCGCACATTCCAAGCCTTACCATCCGGCCTTACCTCTGCTGCGATCGCATCTGCAGCATTCCCAGTCAGGTGTCCTCGCCCCTCGACCTGACTCCTCACATCGCATGGGTTACTGTACCCTCGGAAGTCCCAAGGCAAGTAGCGGGGAGTAGGGTTCTCCACCCACGTGCCTCGCCTCCCCACACACGCTGCCCACCTCCTCACTTGAACCGCGCTTTGCAGCAGTGAGCCGGGGATGAAGTCTCGGTTAAGCAGCGCTCGGGAAGACCCTCCCCCAGGAAGCACCGGACTGTGGAAGACAACTGATTCAATGTGTGTGAAGAAACGTCGGACTGTCATGGGATGGCAGTAGAGGGTTACTGGGTCATCCTCGTCAAGAGCTCTCCTGGTTCGTTTGCAGATATAAGACGCGTATTTGAGACCGAGTACGTGAGCGAAAGCACAGTGGGCATTTGTGGCGGATTCCCGCGGCTGGTACTCAAACACTGTAGCGCCGGGCGGCATGAAAATCATGTTCAGGAGCGCCTCGCCCGGCGTGGTCACCAGCAAAGCTGCCCGGGAGAAAAGTTTCTTGGCGGGCTCAAAGCCCTCGCCTGCCAGATGCTGCTGTATCCGCCCGAACCAGAAATTGTCTTTCAGGGCAGCTTCATGCTCAGCCGCTCGTTCTAACTCCAACACCCCCGGCGGCTGTGCGTTAATCACCACCCAATCCTTCTTCGGAATCGGAATGGATTCTACCTCTGCTGCCGCTGCCCCTGTTCCTACCCCTCCCGCTTCTGCTGCTGCTGCTGCTGCCGCCACTGCGTCCTCAACTGTAGCAGGCACAGGAGCCACTTCCCGTCTGCGCCAGTTCTTGTCGAAAACAGGGAGCCCAGCAGGGGGGAGGAGGTGGGAGGAGCGGAGGGAGCGCCAGAGAGCGGGGCTGGGGCGGGAGCAGTGTTGGAAGAAGGGCTGCACGAGGCGCTCCACGAAGATGAGGTGCTGCGCCTCCTCCTGTAGGACCAGCGCTCGGCGCGACGGGTCCCCGCCTAGAATGTGCAGCGCCAGCGAGTGCAGGTACTGCGTGGAGGGGTGGGGTATGGCATGGGGCGTGGGGAGAAGGAAACTGGGATTGGTGCGGGGTGTAAAGCAGGGCTTGAGGGGAATAGATTGGAGACAGGAATGCAGTATAGAGCAGCATGGGAGGGAAAAACAGAGACTCAGGAGGACGCCGATTATGCATTGACATGTCCGTTGGAGAGGACACCTTAGCACGTGTATTGGAGAGCAAGAGGAAAGCGAGGGGGCGACACTTCTCTTGCACGAATCTCTCCCACTTGTTTCCTCGTCCCCAACAGGTAGTGATGGAAACAAGTGCTCAATGAGCGTGCAACAGGTAGTGATGGGCAGAACGGGGCAGTAGAGGACAGCAGAGCAGAGGGTAGCAGAAGGCAGCCGCGGGGCGAGCGGCAGGAAGGCAGCGTGTGGTGGAAAGTGGAGGGGTGGCGGAGTGCGGTTTCATCCAATCCTACGCACGCGCGCGCGCGTGCGCGCGCGCGCACACACACGTACACACACACGCACGCACGCACACACACACCCACTCACACACGCACTCACACACGCACTCAGGCGTACGTAAGGCACCCCTCGGAGTCACGTGGATATGATATGACATCGACAGAATCAGTAAAGTGACTTCTTTTGTCACAAGTGCCACATGGACAACCAGCTTCCATCCAGGTCACTGGAGAAATTTTGACTGGCCCCAGAATCCGGGAGTGAATGAGAGCCTGCCATGTGGACCAATCCGGTTCTCCGTTGCGAAAAATAGATCGTTATTGGTGGACGATTCTACTAGAATACGGATGGGGTTGTGAGAGGAGGATCTCGGGGGAAGCGCACCTTCTGGCGGCGCAAGTGGGGGCAGCACCCGCCTGCGCGGAAGACATGGGAGGCGTTGAACACCAACCCCCACGGGTCCACGAACACATTATGCAGCACAAACACCTGCCCCGCCCACCCGCCCGCCCCAGGTAACACCTGCTCCGCTCCCACCATCCCCGCAGACGCCTCCTCCTCCCCCAACTCCATTCCCCCTCCGCCCATCCCCCCCTCTCCCCCTCCCATTCCGAGTCCTGACCCTCCCCCTCCCCCTCCTCCCCCTCCTCCCCCCCCCCCTGGGGCATCCTGTTGGAATTCCTCCTCGTCCTCCTCCTCGGGCTCCTCAGTGCAATTGGCTGGAAACATGTCATTAAGAACCACTTTACCTTTGTGCAACGGCGGGCAAACAACACCACTCTCACTGCTCCCCCCACTCACCACAACCTCTCTAACCTCCCTGCCCTCCTCCTCCTCCTCCTCCTACTCATCCTCCTCCTCCTCCTCCTCCTCCTCCTCCTCCTCCTCCTCCTCCTCCTCCTCCTCCTCCTCCTCCTCCTCCTCCTCCTCCTCCTCCTCCTCCTCCTCCTCCTCCTCCTCCTCCTCCTCCTCCTCCTCCTCCTCCTCCTCCTCCTCCTCCTCCTCCTCCTCCTCCTCCTCCTCCTCCTCCTCCTCCTCCTCCTCCTCCTCCTCCTCCTCCTCCTCCTCCTCCTCCTCCTCCTCCTCCTCCTCCTCCTCCTCCTCCTCCTCCTCCTCCTCTCCTCCTCCTCCTCCTCCCCCCCTTTTTCCCCAGCTCCTCCTCCCCCGGGGCCCCCTAGTCCGGGATCCACCAAGCCTGGGTTCCAGCACGCCTCTATGCCCAGCCCACACATTTCCATATTAGGGCAGTCCCCTCCCCTACACGCCAGGTGCCGCGGTCGAAACCTCCTGCCTCTTACCCACCCTCCTAGCAACTCCTCTTTCGCTTCAGGACCGAATACCGCGCCGCCTCCCCCTTTTTGCGGGAAGAAGCTGAGGCTGAGCTCCGCGAGCTGCTTTCGCCGGATCGCGCGGTTTAAGGAGCGGATGTTCTTATGACCCGGCACGCGGTCTAGAAGCGCCTCGTTGGCTAAAACGCGGCGAGAAGAGGCTTTAGGAGGGAAGGAGGAGGATGAGCGAGAGGAGGAGGAGGTGGAGGAGGGGGAGAGGGACTGAACGACATTGAGTAGGGTGAGGGAGAGGAGGACATGAATGAGCGGGGAAAGAGAGGCGGAGACGAAGCGGAGAGACGCTGAGCTCCCCACGAGAGTGGTTTTCGAGGCGGCGGAAAAAGCCATGAGAGCGCGCGGCGGTAACGCGGTTCACGAGATGGGAGTTCTTGTAACGATAAAATTAGTGGCGAATGTGAATTTAAGTCAACTGCTCTATGCAGTCAATCGAACGAGCAATTCGAACTAGCGATGCGCATCATCATTCATAAGAGGACGCAATTCCGCCATGGCACAGCCGCTCGTCGTTGGTAACGGTCAACGCCCCTTGGTAACGCTCCTCCGAAGTGGAAGAGCGCGAATGCGAAAAAGGCGGATGCGCCGAAATCACATCGTTTGGCAAGGCGCGGTTCGGGAAGGCAGCGCGTTCGTACGAACTTCCGCCGATCGCCCATCTGTCGTTTGTTCGTGCATTGGTTGGACGACCATTTGCGAACAACCTTCCTTGGAGAATTGGGGTATGTTTGGCTAGAGGGCCGAGGGGAGGTTTAGGGCGCGTGTGGTCTGTTTAGAAGTTCAAATGAAGTTCGAACTTTAGGTGGTTACCATATTCGCTAATTTCGCGAAGGGTGCTTCGCGAACCAAGCATTGTATGGGCTCTGCAAAAGTTCGAGTTTGAAATATGAACTTGACTCGAGTCGGAGGCGGGAACGTGCGTGCGCACGTTCATGCGAGCGTGTGTGATTTGCAGCACATCCGAACAGCTGGCGAAACGTGCGAGCGCTTCGCCAGTGCATGAAGTTGCACAACGAAGACACCCCACAATTCGTGCACACAGTGGTAGCCACGTGTCCAGCATCGTGGCACGTTCGAGCACGATGTGGCAACGCGTCCCCCAGCCATACAATGCCGAGAAAGCGGACCAGCTGTAGGGTTGTCATGTTGGGCGAATGACGAGTATACAAGGTGTTGCCATGTGGGCTATTTGAACCCTGGTTACACACTCGGCGCGGAAGGTGAGTTGGAGCTCTAGGTCCTTGTAAACCGAGGCGCAAAATGTTGACGTGGCGCACTGTCAAGACGAGCGAACCGGGTAACCTATGATGTTGACGTGGCGCACTGTCAAGACGAGCGAACCGGGTAACCTATGATGTTGACGTGCGGCTCGGCTCGTTTTTACAATTTCGAATGTCGGGGTTCGACCTTGTATGTGTGTGTGATTTTTTACAGTGTGGTAAGCCCGATGTTCGAACTTCGATAGAAGGAAATTCGAACTTCTTTCGTTGTAAGTTCAAAACTAAAATCCGCCCTAAAAACATAAACTTTTACAAATGTAAAAGACCACACGCGCCCTTACAGTTCATCCGTCGTCTGCGCAGGACGATTCCAGACGATGCACAGCGGATATCAAGTTTCACCAGTTTCCACCGTGACGAGTAACCGCACAGAACGAACGAGCGACGAACGCGCTAGACCTGGACTGCGGCAGTGCTGCTGGGCTGGAAAAGCTGGGCTGCGGCAGTGCTGCTGCCGCTGGAAAAGCTGTTGCGTTCGGGAGGGGTTGGTTTCGGTCGGGCTACGAGTTCGTACTGTAAAATACATGTGCATAAATGTGTGATAAAAACATGTCCCCCAAGCAATAATGCCATGCCATCCCCCTTAACTTACTAGGAAAGGCATGGGGGGCTGGTGGTGGGTAAGAGGGAAGGAGGAGATGCGGAAGTTGTCAGGTGGAGATGGGTAGTAGCAAGACCGTACCATAAGATACCGCATTTGAATGACAGTAAATGTATATACCGTACAACACCAATTCAAACAACACCATTTCCAATTGCGAGGTGTGACACAATCAAATAGTAACACCAAATTACCTCCCTCTGCATTCACTTAGAAGGCGGCGGAGGCAAAAGCCGGACGAGTAGATTGTACAAAAACTGAGGGTACACGTCTAAGGGGCCAGGCAGGCAATAGTGCAAACAATCCGGCTTCTTCTTTTCAGGCACCACTCCCTTGTGCCCATCCCACCGCAGCGCCAGCATCCCCTCCACATCCATATACACCCCGCCTGTCTCCTCCACCACCACCTTCACCAGCTCATTCTGCTCCCGCAAGTCCTTCCAGAAATACGGCAGAATCTCCTGCGCCTGCGGCTGTGCCAGCGGCGCCTCTTGCCCCGCGCAGTCTATGTGCCCGGGGGGGGTGTTGCGGTAGATCACGAGCTTGTTTGGGAAGTTTTGGCGGATGTATCGCGTTGCGGACCGCACGCCACTGAGGAAATCCTCTGTGGCGGTCCAGTGGGCGCCGCGGTTGATGAGGATTATGTCGGCCGTGGAGAGTTGGGAGAGGGCTGGCTGCACCCACGGCATGTACTCGAACTCGGGCGGGCGCGGGTCGAAGATCCAGAGGCGGTCTGCTCGGATGTAGTCTAATTGGAAGCCGGGGCAGAGGGTGCCGTTGAATACGTAGCTGGGGGGAGTGCGGGAGGGAGGGGGGGGGAGGGAGTGGAGGGGGGAGAGAGCGGGGTAGAGAGGGGGGGAGAGGAGAGGAAGGGGGAAGGGGGGGAGAGGAGAGGAAGGGGGAAGGGGGGGAGAGAAGCAAGGGGGGAAGGAAGGGAGGGTGAGGAGAGGAGGGGAAGAGCGCTGAGAACACCCAGGGCATGTACTCGAACTCGGGCGGGCACGGGTCGAAGTTCCAGAGGCGGTCGACTCGGATGTAGTCTACTTGAAAGCCGGGGCAGAGGGTGCCGTTGAATATGTAGCTGGGGGGTTGGGCGGGGGAGGGTGGGGGCGAGGGAGGAGGAAAGGAGGAGGGAGAGGGGGAGAAGGTGAGATGAGAAGAGGGGAAAAGCAGAGGAGGGGGAGAAGAAAACAACAAGAAGGATGACAACGGAGGGACGATGGAGAGGGAGGAGCAAGATCAGGAAACGTTCATACGACGCGTACCTAATTTAACAATCCATGCTTAATCCACAATTTCCTGGCGCCCACAAATAAAAACCCCTCCCCGCTACCCTGCTCCTCTCCCTCCTTCCCACCCCCCACCCGCTCTCTCCCTCGCCTTTCACAAAAGTTGTGCAGGTACCGAGACGGGTCATTGTCTAGAGCAGCGGCAGTGCTCCCAGTCAGCTCTAGACCCGTCTAAAAACGTCCTCCCCTCACCACCCCCCACCTCTCACCTTTTACAAAAGTCATGCAGGTAGCGAGTCGGGTCATTGTCCAGAGCAGCAGCGCACCCCTCCGGAGCCTCAATCTCTTCAATGAGCCCCCATGCGGGCTTGCGCACGCCTGTGGCAAGCGCGTTGATCAGAGACGTGGTGAGCTGGAACTGCTTCGAATCCCCCACCACCAGCATACGCCGGTTCTTCAGAACCTTTTCACAGAACGCCGATGGGTCGAATGGAAGCCAGGCGGACGGGGAGGAAGAGGAGGAGGAAGAGAAGGAGGTGTTTTGTGGTGATGAAGCACCTGCCTTCTTGAGCCGCCGCCGCCGTCGCTGTTGTGTGACGACAGGGAGAGGTTCCACTGCCCCCAGCCTCCTTCTCCTCGTCTGCTCCTTCCCTCCACCTCCTCCTCTTCCTCCTTCGCCCCCCCCTTCGCCCCCCACGCCACCACAGGCCCCGTCGTCCACCACCCATTCATACTTCAACGAAGGGCTTATTTTCCAGCCTGTACTATCCCCCTTTGCCTTTGCCTTTGCTGCCATCGCATCCGCGGCGTTCCCAGTCAGGTACCCTCGCCCCTCCGCGCGATTCCTCGCGTCGCATTGATTGCTATATCCTCGGAAATCCCAGGGCAGATTGCGGGGAGTAGGGTTCTCCACCCACGTGCCTCGCCTCCCCACACACGCCGCCCACCTCTTAAACTTCCTCACTTCAGCCCTGTTCTGCAGCAGTGAACCGGGAATAAAGTCTCGGTTAAGCAGCGATCGGGAAGACCCTCCTCCAGGAAGCACCGGACTGTGGAAGACAACTGATTCAATGTGTGTGAAGAAACGTCGGACTGTCATGGGATGGCAGTAGATGGTTACTGGGTCATCCTCGTCAAGAGCTCTCCTGGTTCGTTTGCAGATATAAGACGCGTATTTGAGACCGAGTACGTGAGCGAAAGCACGGTGGGCATTTGTGGCGGATTCCCGCGGCTGGTACTCAAACACTGTAGCGCCGGGCGGCATGAAAATCATGTTCAGGAGCGCCTCGCCCGGCGTGGTCACCAGCAAAGCTGCCCGGGTGAAAAGTTTCTTGGCGGAGTCGAACCCCTTGCCTGCCAGGTGCTGCTGTATCCGCCCGAACCAGAAATTGTCTTTCAGGGCAGCTTCATGCTCAGCCGCTCGTTCTAACTCCAACACCCCCGGCGGCTGTGCGTTAATCACCACCCAATCCTTCTTCGGAATCGGAATGGATTCTACCTCTGCTGCCGCTGCCCCTGTTCCCACCCCTCCCGCTTCTGCTGCTGCTGCTGCTGCTGCCGCCACTGCGTCCTCAACTGTAGCAGGCACAGGAGCCACGTCCTGCCTGCGCCAGTTCTTGTCGAAAACAGGGAGACCAGCAGGGGGGAGGAGGTGGGAGGAGCGGAGGGAGCGCCAGAGAGCGGGGCTGGGGCGGGAGCAGTGTTGGAAGAAGGGCTGCACGAGGCGCTCCACGAAGATGAGGTGCTGCGCCTCCTCCTGTAGGACCAGCGCTCGGCGCGACGGGTCCCCGCCTAGAATGTGCAGCGCAAGCGAGTGCAGGTACTGCGTGGAGGGGTGGGGTATGGCATGGGGTGTCAAGCGTGGGTGGGGTGTGGGGTGTGCGGTGTGCGGTGTGCGGTGTGCGGTGAGGGGCTTGAGGTGAATAGATGGAAAGAAGGGAATGAGGTATAGAGTGGCATGGAAGGAGAACGGAGAACGGCAGGGGGGTGGTGACTGCGAGTCGAGGTGCCATGCTCCTTACGATGTGTGCAAGAGAGAAAGAGAAAAGGAGAGAAAATGAGGGGGCGTGCCTTCTCTTGTGCAAAACCGAGCGTCGTGCTCGCAAAATTTGACAGCAGAGGGACGAGGGGGGGAAGGATGGGAATTGGTTTGGTGCACGAGGCGGTGGAAGAGAGATGGGGCAGACCCGTGGGGCGGGAATCCAAAGACCTTCCCTGACGGCATGGCAAGTGGATTCAACATCAACTTTCAACTCCGGCCCGCCCTTATACAATCGCCGTACCTTCTTCTCATGCACGAGGAACCGAGCATCGTGCTCCACGAGCTTGGGCAGCAGCGGGGCGAGCGGCAGGAAGAGCGGCAGCTGGTGCACGAGGCGGTGGAAGACGGTGTGGAAGCGCGGGTGGCGCGCCTTGAGGTGTCTCTGAGGGGACGGCACCATGAGGTTCACGACCAGCTTGTGTAGGGTCACCTGTGTGCCTCTGTGGTACACGAACTGGGGGGGGTGGGGAAAGAGGAACAAGGGGGAATGGAGGGAAAGAGGGGGAAAGGGAGGGCGGGCAGTGAGGTGCCTTTGGAGGGACGGTACGGCACCATGAGGTTCACGACCAGCTTTTGTAGGGTTACTTGCGTGCCTCTGTGGTACACGAACTGGGGGGGTTGGGGGGAGGTGTGTGAAGGAGGAGGGGGAAAGGGAGGACACAAGGAGAAGGGGGAGTGATGAGTCATGATGAGGGCCATGACGGGCAGGAAGAGAGAGAGGTTGTTGCAGGACGACGCAGAAAGGGGGGTAAGAGGGAGAGAGAGTAGTGATGGGTCATGCAGAGAGGGGATTTTGGGGAAGCGGAGAGGCCGGTGTGGCACAGGATTGACAGATTTTTTTACATCTCACTGAATTTGCTGAGGTGCACGGCCTCAGAGGGTGGAAAGGGAGAGAGGGAGGGTGGAGTGAGCATGAGGTGGGGAGAGAGAATGAGGGCGGGGAGAGAGAATGAGGGCGGGGAGAGAGAATGAGGGCGGGGAGAGAGAATGAGGGCGGGGAGAGAGAATGAGGGCGGGGAGAGAGAATGAGGGCGGGGAGAGAGAATGAGGGCGGGGAGAGAGAATGGGGGCGGGGAGAGAGAATGAGGGCGGGGAGAGAGAATGAGGGCGGGGAGAGAGAATGAGGGCGGGGAGAGAGAATGAGGGCGGGAGAGAGAATGAGGGCGGGGAGAGAGAGTGAGGGCGGGGAGAGAGAATGAGGGCGGGGAGAGAGAATGAGGGCGGGGAGAGAGAATGAGGGCGGGGAGAGAGAATGAGGGCGGGGAGAGAGAATGAGGGCGAGGAGAGAGAATGAGGGCGGGGAGAGAGAATGAGGGCGGAGAGAAAGCAAGGGCGAGACAGTGAGAAACCGCCCGCTATTCACACCTCAAACCCCACCCCTCCTTCCCCACCCGTTTCACATCCTCCCCTTCTTTCAGCGCTTCCCACCCACCAAAGCCCTCTCCATTTCCATTCCATCTCTCTATCCGACTCCATCTTCTCTCCCTCGTCCCATCTCACTCCTCCCCTTCCATTTTCCCCTCCTTCCCGTCCTTCGCTCTCCCCCTCCCACTCTCCTCCCCTTCCCCCTCTCCCCCCCTCCTACTCTCCTCCCCATTCCCCCTTTCTCCTCCTCCCACTCTCCTCCCCATTCTCCCTCTCTCCTCCTACCCACTCTCCTCCCCACCCCATTCCCCCTCTCTCCCCCTCCCACTCTCCTCCCCATTCCCCCTCTCTCCCCCTCCCACTCTCCTCCCCATTTCCCCTATCTCCCCCTTCCCCCTTCGCGCACCTTCTGGCGGCGCAAGTGGGGGCGGCACCCCCCCGCGCGGAAGACATGGGAGGCGTTGAACACCAACCCCCACGGGTCCACGAACACATTATGCAGCACAAACACCTGCCCCGCCCACCCGCCCACCCCAGGTAACACCTGCTCCGCCCCCACCATCCCCGCAGACGCCTCCTCCTCCCCCAACTCCATCCCCCCCGCGCCCCCTCCCATTCCGAACCCTGACTCTCTCCCTCCCCCTTCTCCTGCAGGAGCATCTTGCTGAAACTCATCCTCCTCTTCTTCCTCAGGCTCCACAGTGCAATTAGGAGGGAACATCTCGTTAAGTTCCACTTTCCCTTTGTGCAACACCGGGCAAACGATACCCCGCTCACTATCCCCCCCACTATCCCCCCCACTCGGTTCAACCTCTTTAGCCTCCCTGCCCTCTCTCCCTCCTCCCCCGTCTCCCCCGGGCCCTCCTAACCCTGGATCCACTAACCCGGGGTTCCAGCATGCTTCTATGCCCAGCCCACACATTTCCATATTAGGGCAGTCCCCTCCTCTACACGCCAGGTGCCTGGGTTTCAGCCTCCTGCCTCCCACCCACCCTCCTAACAACTCCTCCTCCTTCGCTTCGGGACCGAATATCGCGCCGCCTCCCCTTTTTTGCGGGAAGAAGCTGAGGCTGAGCTCCGCGAGCTGCTTCCGCCGGATCGCGCGGTTTAAGGAGCGGATATTTTTATGACCCGGCACGTGGTCTAGAAGCGCCTCGTTGGCTAAAACGCGGCGAGAAGAGGCTTTAGGAGGGAAGGAGGAGGCGTGAGAGGAGGAGGGAGAGGAGGGGGAGAAGGATTGAGCGACATTGAGTAGGGTGAGGGAGAGGAGGACAGGAATGAGTGGGCGAAGAGAGGTGGAGACGAAGCGGAGAGATGCGGGGCTCGCCATTAGAGTGGCCTTCGATGCGGTCGAAAAAGCCGTGAGAGTGTTATCTTATGCCGCTGAAAGCACCGTAATAGTGGTTCTTGAGGCGCCTGAAATTTCCATGAGAGTGCGTGGCGGTAACGAAGTTCCCGAGGTGAAAGTTCCTGTAACGAGAAAGTCAGTGGCGAATGAATCCCGCAAGTGGATGGTTCAATTCAGTGGACGGATCGGATCGAGCAATTCGAACTAAAGATGCGCATTGAGAACTTGAAAAACACTAGCGCTTCGAGTCACATGATACGCCAGGACGCTATCCATACTCGGAAGTCATTCCTGCATGACCCGCCGTTTCCCGTTCGTAAGGGACACCGCCACTTGGTAACGCTCCGAACCGGAAGCGCGCGTGTGCGATAAATTCACAATGCTTGGCAAGGCGCGGTACGGGAAGGCAGTGCTTACGTGCAAATCTACGCCGATCGGCCAACTATCGTGATCATAAATCGATGGACTTCACATGAGTACAGTTTGTGATCAGCTCTTATCACAAGCCCTGCCGGCGTGTAAACATTTATCGAGGTGCCACTGGTGGTGCTGCTGCTGCCAAGGGAAAGAACTGCTGAGGGAAACAAGAGTTGAGATGAGATGGGCTGGTAGGTCGCAGTCGTCGTGTCGTGACTCGTGTGAGGGGAGTGGATGGGGCGATCCTGGTCGCCTCGCCATTGGTTAGTTGGGAGTCGAATCAGGTGAAACATGTATCGTATGCATAAACCGCTATCATGTCATGATGATGAGTCGATCGAATGCAATGCTTCAGGTTAGATGGTTGCTGAAACCTGACGGCACACTGTACTGATGGTTCTCCTAAAGTTGGACGGGGGCTATCAAACGCAAATTCGTGCTGCTACACAGTGCACCAGATACAACCTAGAATTATAACAGAATATGGATGAAATACCACCTTGTACAGGAAGAAGATTCATCCGCGACCAGCTATCTCTCAAATGATTTCAATTTTGAGAGACCCCTTCTTGCCACGTCCTTCCCCAACAGCCTCCCCTCCCTTCTCATCACCACTAACTCCATCCTTCACTTCCTTTTCTCCTTCCATCCCCTCCACCACATACACCATTTTCCCATGCTCCTTATCATTTCCCTGCACATGCACCAACACCCGAGCCACCATCTTAGCACTCCCTTCATCCAACCCCAGACAAAGCTTCCTCACATCCCTTTCCCCAGCCCACATGCGCTTCACGCTCTCTCCCACCTTCCATCCATCTGCAACCAGCACTGCCAGAAGCTGGTCCTCTATTCTCTTTTTGTCCTCCAGAGCCTCATGCCACGGTACCGATGCTATCGCTTCTAATGCACCGTTTATTGCATCCAACGCTGCTTCTAATCTCGGGTGATTCTTCTTCGCCTCCTGCTTCTGCTGCTGCTGAATTGCAGCTACTTCTGCTGAGGCAGCAGCAGCTTTGGCGTCCTCTTTCGCAAGTTCATGTGCAATGGCAGCAGGAGAGAGCAGGTCCCAGTAACCCTTGGGCCACACGAACTCAGAAGACACTCCACAGTCTGGAATAAAGTGAAGCGAGGCACCACAGGGGAAAGGATAGGGGAAAAGGCCAAGAAGGCGCAGATGAGGGTCACACTAACGGGTGTGGGGACGACGACAACAATGGGAATGATCTGGGCGGTAAGGATGGAAAGGAAATGCGACTGGAATGGGACTGGAAAGAAGAGAAGGAAACGAGAGATACGGGATCACCCAGCGGCATGAAGGAACAAAAACAATCCCTCTGTCCATGTTATCATCTACTCCTTTCTACCCACCTTGGAAGAAGGCTGATAGTTGCCGCCCCACCAAATCCTTGCAGTTACCACCAGTCGTCCTTATCCTAAGCTGCACCTTCCGCAGCTTCTCTAATCCTTCATTCTTTCCACCACCAGCTACCTCACCTCCCCCTTCTTTCTGCGGATCAGCACTTTCCTCGACTCCTTCCTTTTGGTCCTGGATCTCTCCTCTAGACCTAATGTGGAAAGTCAGATCCAGAGTCCCGGCTGCCGGGTGCTCGACATTGTGCGGAGCAAGGGAGTTGAGGAAGCGTAGGAGAGCGGTAAGCGATCGCTCGTTCTCCGACGCGAACTTCTCCATGGCTGCCGTATTCGTATCTATCTCGCCGCTGCTGCTGCTGGTAGCGCTGCTTGTATGGCTGACAGCTTCTGCGGTTGGCCCCGCACTTGAGTGTCCCTCTTGCGAAGCGGGTAAAGGCTCCTTCCCATCGGCATCCGTGCTTTCGCCCGCAGTAGATCTGGATCCGACAGAATCTTTGGCTAGATTCTCCGGCAGGACGAGAAGCCGGTGGACCAGATCGTCCAATACCTGGGTAACATCTGGCAGATCGGCTTCACGCGCTAAGCCTTTCGCTAATCGACGGCCTCCGCCACCGGTACTGCTAAAAGCTTTCGTCGCTTGCTTCGCATCCTGCGACAGAGATTTCTTCGCGTCGTGTGGATACGCTTGCTTCGGATCCTCCTGCAAAGTCTTTTTCTCATCGTGTGACTGAGCTAGCTTCGGATCCTGCTGCTGAGCATTCTTCAGATGCTGAGGAGGAGACTTATCCACGTCCGGCAGTTGTGACTGCTTCACGTCCTGAAGCCGATCTGGATCAGTTGCGACGTGGTGATTGGCACCTTGAGTAACTGTAACCGGGTTGGAAGTAGCCAGTCGTGTCTCAGACGAAAACGATGCACGCGATACAGTCAGTAAGCGACGGTGTGGACTTCGCGCGACCGCATGTGGATGTGCCGATCTGCGAACGAGCAAACTGCTGGATAAAGCTCTTGCACAGAATGCGGAAAAACTGGCCGATGCTTGGGGAACGGAGCACGAGGAGCCGGACAGAACAGGAGTACGCGGATTAGCGAGCGGCGAGGACGAAGAAGAGGAAACGACGGTTGATGGATGTGCTGTTTGGCCCAGACGCTGGAGAAGGGTCTGAACTGCTCGCCGTGGAACCCGCTGAGACGCCATGGGTGAAGTAAAGACTCTGCTGGTAGTGAGTGATCTCGAGCGTGCAGTGAGAGACTGAGCTACATTATGTACGTGCTACAAATGTTCCGCTAATGTGAATACACAGTGTACAATGTGAAGCTTTTTACAAATGGTACGTTTAGATCTACTGTACACTCCACAAATGCAAATTCTACCTGCCTTGCCTAGGCTGATGTGATCGCATGCAGCAATCCTTCCAGCCAGCAAATTCCCATCTTCAGATTTGCAAATTTCTCATCATCGCAACTTGCTCGTTTACACTATGGCGTCCCGTTCGGCTTGTTTCTCGCTTTTGGCGTGCCTTCTGGTTGCCACCATATCTGTGGCAACAGCAAACGTTCTGGTCCTCAACGACAACAACTACAAGAGCACGGTGAGAAGGAGCTATTAGCTGTCCGGCGACATTCGTGTCAGCGAGAATGCGACCGTTGTGACACATGTCAAACTTTTCTCCATGGATGAGCTTATGCTTATCGCTGTGTGCAGCTTGAGGACAAGAGCAAGGCCTATTTTATCAAGTACTTCGCGCCATGGTGCGGCCACTGGTAAGCTTCATCTCCGGAATTCCCTCTGGGTTTTCAACTACATCTTTTGGATTAACTGGCATGCCTTTGTCGTTTCCAATGCCTATTTCTTTCTACGCGTTTCCTTCCGTTCCTCCCTTTCAGCAAGCGTCTCGCTCCTGCCTGGGAGGAGTTGTCCAACTCCGCTCCGCCGGAGGTGGTGGTTGCACACGTAGACTGCACCGTTTCCACTAAAGTCTGCGAGGAGCAGGAGGTACGCGGCGACATTGTTCCTTCACTTTTTGAAATGTGCCTAGTAGTAAGTACTTATCCGTGTTCTCTCCGTTATAACCTGTGTCTGCGTGGCAGATTCGTGGATATCCCACTCTGAAGCTCTTTGTGGGTGGCAAGTTCCGCGAGCACTACGAGGGTGAGCGTGACCTTGCAGCTCTCAAGTCGTTTGTGGAGGATGTTGCAGAGGATGTCAAGGACGCTCTGACGGAGTCATCGTAGAAGGTTGTGATGTGGTGTACGGTATCATTGTTGATTTCTCCTGTTGCTTGTACGACGCGGCGTGATTGTTGAGTGTTTGTGAAAGGCATAGAGCGCATCTGCTCTGAGAAAACGGTTGTAACAATCCCATATATTCTTGGCTCAAGTGCAATGGTTCAAGTACCGAAGGAGGAACTGATGTGGATAGCATTGCATTGCAGAAGTTCGCAGTGCTACAATGCTATTATTTCGTTCTAGACTGCCAGCCAGCCACTTCAAGCCAGCTGGGTAAGGTGGAACAGTGTCAACGGCAAGCTTAGGTTAGGGGTAGGTACACCCATCCCCTGCTGGACCAGGTAGAATGACCAGGGAAACACCAAGCAGTACTGCCCAGAGCCCACACTGCTGGCACTTCCTGCACTGGTTGAATTGGAAGTGTTATTTTAACCTAGCGCCGGAAGTGGTAACGCCCGCGCTTGAGGGCCCATGCAGCCACGCCCACGGCGGCACCCCCTAGATGAGCTGCATGCCCGATGTGCGACCCGCCCTGAGGGAAACGGTACGATGATGGTGGGGTGGTGGTGGAAGGAAAAAGACACAGGGACAGGAAAGTGAGCTGTATGAGAAAGGGACGGATGGGTGACAACAAAGAGAGGTGGAAGGAGTGGTTTAGCATGCATGTGTGCTGTGCATGGTAGAAAGAGTGGGGTAGAGGCGACCATGACACACGAGAGGCTGGGAGAATTCGAGTGAGGAAGACGAGGTGGAAAGAAAGCGAGAGGCGTGGAGCAATTGCTTGGGCGAGAAAACGCAGAGCAGAAGAGGGGTGGTGATGAGAGTGGGCGGTGCACATGGGGAGAGCTTAGTGTGAGATATCAAGCGGGGCATGGATGATGTGTCAGTGATGGGTAGCACTGAATCACTGACCATGGCTGCTCCATACAGGTCTTGCCCTACGTACAGCACTCCCTGCAAAAGAAAGAGACAAGCAAAACGAGGTTGACAAAGGAGACGTAGAATGAGAAAAGCAGGGATGGGTTAGGATAAGGCTGAACAGCAAGCTCATAGGCTGTGTGTGGGAGAGATAAGGCATTGGTTTGACCAATCTCGTGCTGGTTGCCTGCCTGCATGAATGAACAAGGGGAAAGAGCGAGGGAGCAGAAGAGAGGGAGACTGCGAGGTAAAATTTCAAGGAAAATGGAGGGCATTCAGAAGACACATTTCACAAGGCGGAATGGAGAGCGTGAGGATGATAAACATGAGGAAGATGGAACGCAGGGCTGCAGCACAATGTCACAAAGAACAATTCCAATTCATTTGGCTCAAAAGGCACATCTTATCAGGAGAAGGGAGGGCACTCAAAAGGCAGTACTTACAAGGAGAATGGAGGGCTTTTGAAAGGCAGTACTTACAAGGAGAATGGAGGGCATTCGAAAGGCAGTACTTACAAGGAGAATGGAGGGCATTCGAAAGGCAGTACTTATAAGGAGAATGGAGGGCATTTTTAAGGCAGTACTTACAAGGAGAATGGAGGGCATTCGAAAGGCAGTACTTACAAGGAGAATGGAGGGCATTCGAAAGGCAGTACTTACAATGAGAATGGAGGGCATTCGAAAGGCAGTACTTACAAGGAGAATGGAGGGCATTCGAAAGGCAGTAATTTCAAGGAGAATGGAGGGCATTCGAAAGGCAGTACTTACAAGGAGAATGAACGGCATTCGAAAGGCAGTACTTACAAGGAGAATGGAGGGCTTTTGAAAGGCAGTACTTACAAGGAGAATGGAGGGCATTCGAAAGGCAGTACTTACAAGGAGAATGGAGGGCATTCGAAAGGCAGTACTTATAAGGAGAATGGAGGGCATTTTTAAGGCAGTAATTTCAAGGAGAATGGAGGGCATTCGAAAGGCAGTACTTACAAGGAGAAAGGAGGGCATTCGAAAGGCAGTACTTACAAGGAGAATGGAGGGCATTCGAAAGGCAGTAATTTCAAGGAGAATGGAGGGCATTCGAAAGGCAGTACTTACAAGGAGAATGAACGGCATTCGAAAGGCAGTACTTACAAGGAGAATGGAGGGCACAGGGATGATGAAGTTGAGGTAGATGATCCGCGTGGGCTGCAGCAGACAGCTGAAGAGCACTATGGCGTTCACCGCTCCACTGGCACCCTGCCATGCCATGCCATCCATGCCATGCCATGCCATGCCATGCCATGCCATCCATGCCATGCCATGCCATGCCATGCCATGCCATGCCATGCCATCCATGCCATGCCATGCCATGCCATGCCATGCCATGCCATGCCATGCCATGACGTGCCATGCCATGCCATGCCATGCCATGACGTGCCATGCCATGCCATGTCGTGCCATGTCATGTGGTAGCAAGACACCATGCTCCAGTTAGGGTTGCATGAGGAGCTCACGAGAGTTGGAGCAGGAGCAGGAGCAGGAGCAGGAGCAGGAGCAGGAGCATTGGTGTTAAAAAGTGCAGCAAAAGGCCTGTTGCAATGCAAAGCGCAGTGTGCGGTGCGCAGTGCAGTGCGGTGCATATCGTGGTGTGTTTTGGGTCGACTAAAAAAACGCCTGGAGCAGAGCAATGAGCAGAGCGTGGTGCAGTGTAGTGCAGTGCGGTGCAGTGCGGGGCATGTCTTACCATGGCTGGAGGCGAGAGGCGTGGATGCCAAGCCCACACAGACTTTTTCTGAAACCGAAACGTGACGAGGCAAAGATGAGAAAGAAAGAACACTTGTGAACGGAGGGAAGGGCAGGGAAGCAAAACACATGTGCCAATGACGCCACCACCGCTTCTCTTTTCCGCCGTCACATTCGTTCCCACATTCCCCTGGACCCCACACTTCAACCCTCTACCTCCACACCTCCCCACCTCCCACTCACATCGGTCCTGGGCACGATGTATTGAAAGTAGAACACGTGTGCCAGCGATGCCACCACTGCTCCCGACGCATACAACCCCAGCAGGTACCGCGGCCCATACATGCGTGCCACCTGGAGGAGAGATAAGAATTTGGGGAAGTGGCGGCACAAGGGGTCGGATGTGCGGTGCAGTAAGGTGCCAAGGAGTGGCGCCTTTTGCAGCGCCTACAAAAAAATCGTGAGTCAGCCAGCGATTTCACCACTGCCCCTGACGCGTAGAAGCCCAACAGGTAGCGCGGACCATACATACGAGTCACCTGGGGGAAAAGGGAGGGACAGAGGAGTGGGGACGGTTTTTGAGACGTCTCGAAAGTGGGTGGGAGTTGGTACTATGCCCTTTTGCAACTTGGGTGAGAGATACTTACCTTATCACTTCACAGCTTATATTTTAAGGCGCCTCAAAAGGCAGATTGAGTGAGAGATACTTACCTTATCACTTCACAGCTTAGATTTTAAGGTGCCTCAAAAGGCAGATTGAGTGAGAGATACTTACCTTATCACTTCACAGCTTATATTTTGAGGCGCCTCAAAAGGCAGATTGGGTGAGAGATACTTACCTTGTTACTTCACGGCTTATAACTGAGATACTTACCGGGCAACTTTAAAGAGTTCGTTTCCTTGCAACTATAGAAGTGACTCGGTGCTTCGCAGCCGAAGAAGAAGTAGAGGCCAAGCATGGTAAAGAGCAGGAGACAATCGAGGATCTTCAGAAGGTTACCTCGCACGCAGTGCAGGCGAAGAATGAATGAGACGTCTCAACACTCGTACTTCCACAAGTGACTCCGTTACCTCGCAGCGCAGGCGAAGAATGAATGAGACGTCTCAACACTCGTACTTCCACAAGTGACTAGATACCTCGCAGCGCAGGCGAAGAATGAATGAGACGTCTCAACACTCGTACTTCCACAAGTGACTCATTACCTCGCAGCGCAGGCGAAGAATGAATGAGACGTCTCAACACTCGTACTTCCACAAGTGACTCGTTACCTCGCAGCGCAGGCGAAGAATGAATGAGACGTCTCAACACTCGTACTTCCACAAGTGACTCGTTACCTCGCAGCGCAGGCGAAGAATGAATGAGACGTCTCAACACTCGTACTTCCACAAGTGACTCGTTACCTCGCAGCGCAGGCGAAGAATGAATGAGACGTCTCAACACTCGTACTTCCACAAGTGAATCGTTACCTCGCAGCGCAGGCGAAGAATGAATGAGACGTCTCAACACTCGTACTTCCACAAGTGACTCGTTACCTCGCAGCGCAGGCGAAGAATGAATGAGACGTCTCAACACTCGTACTTCCACAAGTGAATCGTTACCTCGCAGCGCAGGCGAAGAATGAATGAGACGTCTCAACACTCGTACTTCCACAAGTGACTCGTTACCTCGCAGCGCAGGCGAAGAATGAATGAGACGTCTCAACACTCGTACTTCCACAAGTGACTCGTTACCTCGCAGCGCAGGCAAAGAAGCTGTGTGATGTCTCAAAGCTCGTACCTCGCAGCCGAAGAAGTAGAGGCCGAGCATGTTGAAGAGCAGGTGCCGCCCCTCACGGTGGCTGATGGCGGATGTGAGGAGTGTGTGGTAGCGCCCCTCGTACATCGCATTCACTGACACCTGCCCGCGCGCGAGGGATTGGGTGTGAGTAGTGTGAGGGCGAATGTGAGTAGTGTGAGTGCGAATGTGAGTAGTGTGAGTGCGAATGTGAGTAGTATGAGTGCGAATGTGAGTAGTGTGAGTGCGAGTGTGAGCGTGGGAGTAAGTTAGTGGGAGTTCGAGTATCAGTGTCAGATTGGAAGTGAGTGCGAGTGCAGATGTCAGACTGAGTGTGGAGGAAAGTTTGACTGCGGAAGAGAGTGGAAGTGTGAGTGCGGGTGTGAGCGCGAGTGTGAGTGCCACGCCACACCCCGATACGCCACCCTCCCTCCCTCCCTCCCTCCCTCCCTCCCTCCCTCCCTCCCTCCCTCCCTCCCTCCCTCCCTCCCTCCCTCCCTCCCTCCCTCCCTGCTCCCTGCCCCCCCCCATCGCACCATGAAGTTACGGGCCATGACGGTCTGGTTCTGCGTGTGCCACGCGGCAAACACACCCACGTTCACAGCAATCAGCGCCCACACCACGGCATCTGGGTGCCCCGACGCCCACGACTGGTTGCTGGGCGCGCACAGGCGCAGGTGAAGGTGGGGGGAGAGGTGGGGGGAGAGGTGCGGGGAGAGGTGCGGGGAGAGGTGCGGGGAGAGGTGGGGGGAGAGGTGCGGGGAGAGGTGCGGGGAGAGGTGGTGGGGAAATGGGACAGTCGGGAGGAAGGTGGGTTGAGAATTGGGAGAGGGCGATGCAGGGGAGAAGGGGAATTGGAGATGTGAGAGTAAGTAGGGCGTGAAAGGGCACTGGGAGACGAGAGGTTCCCATTTGCACGCTGGCAGCGATCAGTGCCCATATGCTCACACCTGCTTGCATTGCAGGGCGGGGAAAAGGCGGGGGAGGAACAGGTTGGGGAGAGCAGGTGGGGGAAGAGACCAATGGGGGGGGAACAGGTGAAGGGTGAAGGGGAAGGTGGTGAGAGAGGTAGGGTGAGAGGAGAAGTGGTGGTGGGGGAAATTTGTCCGGAGGACATGAAACACTGGGCCGGCACGAGAACAGTAGGAGCAGTAGCAGAGCAAGAGGAACAGGGGAAAGGGCAAGAAGGGCAAGCAGGGCACTGGCATGGGAAAGAACGGCAAGAAGAGCAGTGGCAAGACGGGCACTAGCAAGGCAAGGCAAGGCAAGGCAAGGCAAGGGGGGAACGTACGACTGCCGGCGTTGCAGCCAGTGCGGGCCACGTTGCGGCACCCACGAGGCGAAGCTTCTGGTGAAGGTTCGTGTGAAGGTGAGAGCCTGAAGCGGGAGGCGAGTGAGGGGCTGAGCACGGGAGGCGAGGAGTGGGAGAGACTTCAACTTCGCCTGCTGCAGCAGCCGCGGCAAAAGCAACAGCAGCTGTTGCTGTTGCTGCTGGTGTTGCTCCTGCGCTGCTTGCTGTATTCTTCGTCTCAACAAGCCCAGGGAAACTGCGAAGCCAGAAGGAAAAGAGTGGCTTCTAGCTGTTGCTGCTGCTGCTGCTGTTGCTGCTGCTGCTGCTGCTGCCGCTGCCGCTGCCGTTGCCCCAGTTGCCCCAGTTACTCCAGTTGCTCCTGTTGTCAGCGCCGCCGCAGCTGATCCACTCCTACCCGCACTCCTTCCAAAGGCCTCTAACACCACAGCTCTCGCCGACCCACTCACGCCAGCACACAGCACCGCTCTTAAACGGCCTGCTCCCGCCCCTGCTGCTGTCCCTGCCGCTCCTGTTGCCACCCCTGCTGCTACCCCTGCTGCTGCTGCTCCTGCGGTTGCTGCTACTCTCGTTGCGCCTGATCCCAGGAATCCCCGCGCGTACGCTGCTGCAGCGTGCTGCGGCTGGAGCAAGGACCGGGATGCGTGCCCCGCGGCGGTGCTAGCGGCGGGTCTGCGCGCCAGAGAGGCTAGTCGGAAGGCCATCGCGAGGGGTTGATCTCGCGGGGCGCGGAGAGTGGGGCGCGGAGAGGGGGACGGGGAGAGCGGGACCGGGAGAGCGGAGCGGGGAGGGCGGAGCGGGGAGATTAGACACGGGATAGTGGAGCAGGAAGACGGGGGGGGGAAAGGTGGGGAGGGTAGGGCGGGGCGGGGAGCGATCTGGAGGTCCACGCGTTGCTTCCCGTGTTCAGCACAACAAGTGACCGTAAGAGGGGCCAGGAGCAACAAGCCTCGCGATTCACATCCCCGCAGTCTGTACCGTGTTCGCTCTAAAACACATATATCTATAGGCCACTACGGATCGCCTCCGCTTTTTAACAGGTGGTGCGGGCGGCAGCCGATGTGAGGTCGGTCAAGAATCTGCCGGTCCGTCAGTCGCTCTGACGGGCGGCTGGATGACCGTCTAGGACGACGCCCGCTGCGGCAGCACTTAGTTGCTAGTAGCGGCAAATTGGCAATTGCTCCTGGAGAAATGCTGCAGCAAATTCCCGAAGCTGGATGAAGGGCTCTACTTCCTTTTCCGCGTCATAGGGCTGGCCGATATGCGGAGCATCACAAATCCCCGCTAATTTTGACCAATCGCATGTACGTTAACAAAACAAAAGGTTCAGCAAGCCAACTATAGTGGACAAATGCAAAAAGACTAATCTAGGTAAAAAAAATCTCAAGAGGAATAAAACTTCCCCGCATATTCCCTGCTCGAATATTCATTGCGAGAAAGAACATAGAGTGAATTCGAGCATATTACAAGCAGCTACAAATGAGTAAGCTAGTAATGTAAGAAGTTAGGGGAGTGTAAGAAACACCTGCTATTCCTAAAGAAGCTCAATCCCTTATTTTTCCCCGCAGCAAACTGTTGAAACAACCGAAAGGTTATATAAATCATTCCCGAAGCTGCTCCATTGTACCAGTACCGCAATAGCTCATATAGAGCATGCGGAATGTCGAGGGTCACCCGAAGGTCAACCGTCTGAGGAAGTCAACGGTCGTGACCTTTGACGATCCAGTAACCGCGCGACACTAAATTCACTGCAACATGGTAATTGTCGAGGATAGCAATAGTCGCGGTTACTGTAGCTATACAATACAGTTAAAAAGGGAATGTGTGAGAAATGAGAAATGAATGAACTAGCAAGCAGGTGGGTACAAGTAGGATAACCTCAAAGTGTTGTACCCCATATTGTCTACCCCACTACAGCCTACACAGACTATAGCATATGAGTTTGTCACACCCCCATAGGCAAAGTGGGGAAGAACAAGAGGTCACAAGTCCAGTCAAGCAAAGCAAAGCAAGCTCAGGGTGGATCACAACGTCACCACACATTCCGAGCACAAGTTCAAGGCCACAAGGCCAATTCACATGCAAGATCATATATAAAGGTAAACAAGCAAGTGCAGGTATAGAAAGATCACAGTACAAGCAAGGTCAAGAAGTGAGCAAGTGAGGCCAAGTAGGCACAAGACCTAGCATCGTACAGAAGTGCTGATGATCACAAGGCGGAAGTGCCTTGGTAAAGATATCAGTAGTGTTGGCCTCAGAGGCCACGTAAGCAAGGCGCAGCTGACCACGCTGCTGCAGCTCACGAGCAAGGAAGTAGCGAAGAGCAATGTGCTTCGTTCTGTGCTCCAGTCTGTGCTTCTGACACAAGGCCAGCATGGCCTTGTTGTCTACGTACAGAACTGGAGGAGAACGAGGCGGCTCTCCAAGGTCAGTCAGCAGGTAGGTGAGCCAGCGTAGCTCCTGTGCAGCCATGGCCCCCGCGTAGATCTCAGCCTCACAGCTGGAGCCGAGAACAGAAGACGAGCTGGTAGACCGCCACGAAACAGATCCGGAACCAAGGCTGAAGGTGTAAACCTGTGACGACCGCTGCGTAGCCTGGTCGTGAGCCCAAGAAGCGTCTGCGTGACCTGTGAGGACCACTGAACGTCGCCCTCCAAGCACTAGCCCCATGCCCGACGTACTGCACAAGTAGCGCAACACCCTCTTCGCTGCAGCCATGTGCTCTTGTCGGTGTCTCCTAGGAGCAACATAGCGTGCCAAGATGCTAAGAGGGTATGCAAGGTCAGGTCGTGTGCAGGTCATCAGGTACATGAGGCAGCCAACAAGCTCTGGGTACGGGCCACTCGGCTCTACGGACTCATCCGAAGGCAGAGCTGAGAGCGAGTGGCGAGTAGAAAGAAGAGTGGCCTGAGGCGAGGATTACGTGAAGTCGAAGCGCTGAAGGACCTGCTGCACCATGTGTGACTGAGTTAGGGTAATGGTGCGCTGTGCTCTGTCCCGGGTGATCTGCAAGCCAAGGTAGCTGCGCAGTTCACCCAGGTCTGTGCACGTGTGTCTCTTCTGCAGCTCTGACTTCACGTGGGCTAGTCCAGTAGTGTCAGCAGTGGCAAAGACCAAGTCGTCGACGTACACGAGGATGTAGAACGGCGGCAAAGAGGTGTCGGTGCGCAGAAACAGCGACGGGCCGGCAGTAGAAGGAGCAAAGCCAAGAGCCGCAAGTGTAGTCCTCAGTGTGTCGTGCCACTCACAGGGCGCCTGGCGGAGACCGTAGACTGGCCGCCGGAGGCTCCACTGGGTACCAGGGGGAAACGACCCAGTGAAGCCAGGTGGGCGGCGCAGCCAGATCTCCTCGTGTAGGCTGCCCTGCAGGAAAGCTGTGCTGAAGTCAAGAGAGTGAAGCTCGTAGTCGCGCTGAGCGGCTATGTGCAGCAGCACGCGAAGAGTGGTCATCTTGGGGGTGGGAGAGAAGGTCTGAAAGTAGTCAACTCCCTGCCGCTGTCTGAAGCCTTGAGCCACGTAACGCGCCTTGAAGACAGGCGGAGAACCCGGCGGCCGCTTCACCCTGAAAATCCACCTGCCACTGACGATGTTCGCCCAAGGTGGGGGAACCTCGACGACGTAGGTGCCTGTGGACTTCCAGGAAGCCATCTCTGCGTCCATGGCTGACTGCCACTGAGAGGAGTAGAGACCCTCGATTGCCTCAGCGTACGATCGAGGAGTCGGGATGTCTGGTGCATCCGGGTCTCCCTCACGGGCAATCAGCGTGGACACGAGATGAGGAAAAACAGCAGCAAAACACTGGAACTCCTCCTGCCTGTCCTCAAGGACGTCCGTGCTAAGAGCACACTCACCCCCGACGGACGGAGGACAGACAGACTCAGACTCAGCAACAAGACTAGCAGCGTAGTCTAGACGATAGCGAGCAGCAAAGTCGACAAGCTCAGCAACCAAGGCAGACGCAGCAGTGGACTCAAAGGAAGGGTCAGTGACAACAGTAGCCAGGAGACGCGTGACAGTAGGACTGGCAGAACAAAGAGAGTCAGACTCGGGGTCAGCAAGGACAGGAAGAGAGGACTCTGGAGGATACGGCAACGGGACACGCAGAGGAGTAGTGGAAGGACGCAGTGCCATCTGGTGTGTGCGTGGGACCGCAGGAGGACGCGGACGCGGAGCACGACGACTAGTGCGAGCAGCACGAACAGGCGACGCAGGACGAGACGCAGGCTCACGACGCTCAGCAAGACCTCCAGTAGGACCAGTGTAGGGAGAAGGAGCAGGTAGAGGGGAGGCGGGCTGGAACTGTGACCGCGTCTGGACAGGCTGTGGACACTCTAAGGGAGGAGCAGGACCAGTAGAAGGCGGGAGACCAAGAACCTGCTCAAGGAGGGGAACGAAGTACGGCCGCGGCCACGCAGCGCCTCCAGAACCAGCAGGGACAGCACCAGTACCACCAGCGGCAGCACCAGCGCCAGCAGCACCTCCAGCTCCAGCAGCGCCAACTCCAGCACCCTCAGAAGCACCAGCGCCAACAGCACCTCCAACGTCAACACCCCCAGCAGCTCCAGCTCCAGCAGCACCAACTCCAGTAGGTCCGTCAGCTCCAGCAGCCTAAGCAGCACCCCTAGGCCCAGCAGCTCCAGTACCGCCAGTGCCGACCCCAGGGTCAGCACTAACAGCAGTACCTCCAGCTCCAGCAGCAGGGCTCCAGCGCCGGGAAAAACCACTCGCGCAGCTCCTGTGGAGAGGGTAGCTCCCGCCTCGACGAAGCACCCGAAGGGGCCCCAAACCCAGCACCGCCAGAGGCCACACGAGCAGACCCCGCACCCCCGGACTCCACACCCCCTGGCTCAGCACCCCCAGGCTCCGTACCCCCAGGCTCCGCACCCCCAGGCTAAGCACCCCCAGGCTCCGTACCTCCAAGCTCCGCACGCCCAGGCCCAGCACCTCCAGACTCAGCACCCCCAGGCTCAGCACCCCCAGACTCAGCACCCCTAGCAGTACCAGAGTCAACAGCTACCTCGAAAGGCTCGACTGCATCTACCTGGGACACACCTGACGGGGCAGGACCCTGAGGGGAAAAGGGGTCTATCGGGGGGGGACGTGGCGCAAGGAAAAGCGGCGGCGGGGGGAGGGGTGCAGTGCGGTAGGGGAAGAGACGGTAGTAAGGAACCGACTCGTCAAAGGTGACGTCCTGGGAGGACAGAACACGGCGCGAGGTGGGGTGGTAAAACTGCCAACTAGGCGCGTCAGGGGGTAAGCCAAGGAAGACGCAGGGAACAGCACGGGGGGACAGCTTGTCTGCAGACAAGTCGCGGACAAAAGCCCGAGATCCCCAGACACGAAACGCAGACGCATCGCCAACCTTCCCCGTCCAGCGCAAGGTGGGGGAGGTCTCTGGCAAAGAGACCCGGGGCTGAAGGTTGATCTGATGCGCTGCGTACCGCAAACGGCCACAGAAAATGGGGAGCAGCTGCATGGATCATGGACGTACGAGCGACGTCCATGACCATGCCGATGCGGCGCTCAGCAATCCCATTTTGTTGTGGAGAGGCTGGAAGCGTGAAGGTCTGGCGGATGCCCTGTGCACGTCAGAAGGCTCCCAGAAGGGCAGAGGAAAACTCCCCGCATCTGTCAGAGTGCAGACGCAGAACAGGAAAGTCCGAGCCGAAACTCTCTCTGAGCTGGAGACGAGCTGCGCGGATCC